TCTAGGAAGACCAGGGGATCCAGGAACCCAGGAACCCAGGATGAGATTTGCAGCAGGGCTGGGGGCGTCACAGACCCACTGGGATTAGAGAGGTGGAAGTTGGGCAATGTTGGGGGGGTTCCTCTGCTCCATGAATGAATGAAAAAATGAATCCAGGGATAATTATGGGGGTCCTTATGCCATAGGGGATTGAGAGGCAATATTAGGGACCCAGAAGAGGCTATGGGGGGTGTCTGCCTCATAGGGAATCCAGCGGCAATAGGGGGCATCTCTGTGTCCCTTAGAAACTTAAGGGTAATAACAGGGGTCGCATCCCAGAAGGGAAAGGAGGTGGGATGGGCCCACGGGCCCAACCACCTAGCTGGGGGGTGAGGAGAACTCCCAAAATAGCTTGTGAGTCATCAGGGAGAAGTGGCCCTCCCCCTCCTAGCAGTGCCAGTTCTAACCCCACTGGTGTCTCCAGGGCCCCCGCAGCCCATCCCTGGGTCGTACCATCCTGATTCCGGTCCAGACTGTGGAACAGAAGCAACAGGCGCTGTTCCCGCTCCTGCAGGTAGCGAGAAAACTCCTCCAGGTCCAGCCCACCACCTGGGTCAGCGTCACCCTCAGGGGAGATGCCCTGGCAAGGGGGAAGGGACGAGGGAGCTCCAGGAGGCTGCTCCCAATCTGCAGGGGGGGCATGACAAGCTTAAGGCCCAGGAACTCAGAGCCCCCAGCACCTAAGGGACAGAAGCAGGGGAAGTCACCCCTCCATCCGCCAGCTCACTTCTCAGCAATATGCCCAAGGCCACCATAGGTCTACGAGGTGGAAAGCGGTTGTCCAGTTTGCCTGGCAGGCAAACTGAGGCTCTCCAAGGTCGAGTAACTTTTTCAAGGTTACAGAACTGGGAAGTGGTAGGTAGCCTTGGGCTCTTGTCTCTGAAAGCCTGTCCTCCCAGCTGTCTCTTAAAAAAACCCTGTCCATGTGGCAGTTTCAGGAGCTCCCGTTAGAGACAGCTCTGGGCACTGTGGGGCAATGAGAGATCTAAGCTGAGCCCCCACCAGGCCTCTGGTTTCCCACCTGGAAAGTGGGAGGTTGTCCTGGAGGTCTCAGGATGCTGTGGAGAGAGACACTCCAGGGGCATCCGGGGCTAGAGGTGTAGGGGACACCTGCATAGGCCTGGGGCAAGTTCCTGCTTTGCTACATCCCATGCTGAGGGCGGCCTCGGACAGGATAGGGTACCGGGCTGGGGTAGCCTGGGGCATTAAGCCAGGCCCCCCGGGGGAGGGGGGAAGGGCAGGCCTGGGAAATGTAAACGTAGAGAGGCTGGGGCAGCCGGCTGGGAGGGCAGTGGGTCCCCGGAGGAGGGGGGGAGGATGGGAAAGGGTGTGTCTCCTGAGGCGGGGAGCAGGGTATGTCTTGGATGGGCAAAGAGTTCAGAGGAGGGTGTGTCCGGGGCAGTGGGCAGGAGAGCCGATCGGCTCCTTTCGCTGGCAAGACATCCCCCACCCTCGAGGCACCGGCGCGGGGGTTGGGGACGGACGGTTGGCAGCTGAACTGCAGGCCTGGAGCCTCCGTGGCTCTGTCTTGGGCGAACCCGTTAGGCCCAGACCCGCGGGGCAGGGGGAAGGGGACGGAGACGCCCAGGCTGGGCACCCGCACTGGAGTGCAGCCACAGGCAGTCGCTGGCGGCTGCGGCGGCGCTCCATTCAGGAGCTCGGGTTACCGGCGCCCGCAGGGCCGGAGCGCCACGCGCCAGGCTGGGGTCCCGGCGGGGGTACCTGTTGGGCGTCGCGGTCCGGGTCGCCCCCGCCCAGCCGGGCCAGTCCCTGGCGCAACTCGCGCACATCCACGCGGCCATCCTTGTTACTATCCAGCTCCTCGAAGAGGCGACCCCAGCGCTGCCGCCGCTCCGCATCGCCCGGGCCCCCCCGCATGGCGCCGGTCCGGGGGGGGGAGGGGAGGCCCGGCGGTGGCGGCCTCGGCGGGGGCTTCGCGGCTCCCCCTCCCCCCCGCGGCCCCGCAGGGCCAGCTCCGCGGCCACTGCCACCGCAGCCTCCGCGCTGCCCGCCTGGCTCTGGCACTTGCAGGAGGCGGTGACTGTTAGCCGTCGCCGCCCGCGCCAGAACTTGCGTCTCCTCCCCCCCGACCCGCTTGGGGAGAGGGAGCTGGAGGCGGAGCTGCGGGTGTGGGGCGGAATGTCGGGATGCTTTGGTAGTGCACAGGAAGCATCCGAGTTCATTCTGGGGAGGGGGGCTAGAGAGATCAATGGTCTCAATTCTGCTTTCAGAGTTCCGCCTTGCGTGCCTCGGTTTACCCTCTGTCCAAGGGCGCGCAGTAGAGGGATATCAGGGATTTGGTTTCGTAATCCCTTTCCACTTGGCCTCCCTCGCCTACTATTTCTCTTTAGGCGCTAAAGTTCTCGTTTTTCCCAGATAATGCTCAAGAACCAACCTTACGCCATCTAGCCCTCCTTCTGCCCGCCCGCTCATTTCACATTCCCCACTCGGCCGCAGAAACAGAAAATCAGGAAGCTGTGCTTTCTCCCTGAAACCCTACATCCCGCCCGCGAGCCTTCCTTTTCGGTCCCACTCAGACTGGGAAACGGAAGATCAACGTGCGGCGCGGCTGCAAAGTCGGTTTCCTATTGGCCAGAGCTGCCTGAGCTGCGCCCGCCCGCCCCACGTGGGCGGGGCTTCCGCGGCTACCCTGCGCTGCCTTGGGCCCCGGCGGCTTCGGGCTGGCTGGGCCAGTCTTAAAGAGGCCGCGGCCTGATCCCGTCGCTGTGCTGACTGCTCTCTCCAGACCAACCTGCGGATCTCAGTGTAGCAGGCGCGAGTGCCGATGAACACCGGGAAGCCGAGCGCTGGAGGCGGGGCACCAGCCTGTCGTGCTCGCTGCACCTGCCGAGAGTCCCTCCCACTAATTTCGGGCGCAGTTTCTCGAGTCACCGTTAGGGGGAGGGGCGGCCAGACCACTTGGCGAAAAATAATAACAATAACTAACATTGATTCACGGCGTTTCACAATCCAGGCCTTTTACTCACCCCTCGCGTCATCCTCGCCAAAACCCTATAAGGTAGGTGGGACTGGCTTTCCCACTTCACAGATGAGGAAACAGAAGGTTAAACTGCTCTACCCAGGCCACATGCCCAGTAAGCGGGAAAGCGGGGATTTAACCAGACCTGGAATTCTCACCCATCGCTCTATACTCTAAAAGTGATTCATTTCCCCTTAACCATTACTCTTCACCCTAGAGTCCCCAGGGGGTGGAAGTCATATTATCACCGTCCTTTATCGAACAGTACAGCCGTGGGACGCTTGGGTGGCTCAGTCGGTTAAGCGTCTGCCTTCAGCTCAGGTCATGATCCCAGGGTCCTGGAATCGAGTCCCGCATCGGGCTCCCTGCTCGGCAGGGAGCCAGCCTGCTTCTCCCTCTGCCTCTGCCTCTCTCTCTCTCTCTCTGTCTCTCATGAATAAATAAATAAAATCTTTAAAAAAAAAAAAAAAGAAAAGTACAGCCGTGAGGGCACGTTTAGTTTTGCCCAGACAGGTGTGCTCAAACACACCTGTGAGTCACAGACAAATGGCCTCTTAGGGAAGTCCTAGTGGCCAGTGGTGCAGATGGCCTCTTAGAGGGCCCCTCACAGATGTTTTCTTTCTTGCAGGTGCCCCACAACATGGGGGATACAGATGTTTTCCCAGAGAAATGCCCCAAATAGGCATTTTCTCACAAATACCTCCCTGACAGGTGGGCCTCAATACACGTGAGCCTCTGTCCTGCCCCCCCACTGAAGCTCCCAGGTGCTTCAATATGAGTGTGCCTCGTGCACATGTTCTCAGGTCTTTTTTTCATTCGATCTCAATTCCATGCAGATGTTCCTCATACGAGGCTATTTTCTTCATTGCACAGGTGTCTTTCTCAACAGAAATCCACCCAGGAATGCATCATACAGCTCCCCTCTGCCCGCCACACATAGGTATGTTGCGGTTAAGTAGACACCCGTCTGGGTACGTTTCCATATACCTGGGTCCTATAAGGTGTACTAAAATGCAGGTGTGTCTCGTACAGGTCTTTCCAATACATTTCCACACAGGAATTCCTCATACAAGAGTTGTTCATTTCATGGGTGAGCCATGCAGATGCGTTTCCAAAGCAAATGTATCCTACACCAGAGGGCCTCAGCCAGGGGTTTGTTATAATGCAGGTGTGTTCTATACAGCTGTTTTCCACACAGGTATGCTTCCATTCAGCTATACACCAAATAGATGTGTCAATGCAGATGTCTCCCATAGGTGTTCTTCTTACACATCCACGCAAATGTCTTCTATACAGGTTGGCTCCTAGGCAGGTATGTACCACACGGGTGTGTCTTTATTAAGGGCCACCCATTCGGGCCTGCCCCAGACAGGCGTGCCCCATGCACCAGTGTCTCCCTGCCCGGTTTGTCTCCACACTTGTGCTATCCTACAGATGTGCCCGCAATATAGGTGGGAGGTCCCTCTTAGACCTGCGCGCTTGCGCCCCTTCTTACTCTTCGGTATTGTAGAGTTGGGTTCCCGTTACAGGTGCGTCCCTGGCGCGGTCCCACCCCCGTTTGGCTCCGCCCTCTCCCGTAGGCTCAGGTGCACAAGCCGGAAGTGTGCTCCCCTCCCAGGTGAGTGACTAAACTTTCCGGGTCACGTGAGCGGGCGGAGCTGGAGGAGTCCGAGCTACCGACCGACGCACCGAGGGTTCGAGCCAGGGACCCGGACCGGGAACCTGAGCAAGGTCGAGGACGGCTGGGCCAGGTAGGGAGATAGGACGCGCGGCTTGGCCTGCCACTCCTTTCCCCTTCTCCTTCCCTTTCCCCAGCCCAGGAACGCGCCGCCTCGAGTTAATCTTTAATCTCTGACCTCTGGCGGCGGGGGCGGGGCGGGACTGCGGGGTGCCCTGGGCGGGTCATCCCTCCCCTGGGCCTGCGCCCGGGTCTAGCCCCCTCCCCCACGCCATTCTCTTTCTCCCGCCCCAGGTGCCGGGTCGCAGGTACCCCCGGCCCGAGATGCGGTAGAAGCAGCGCGCGCGAGAAGCCCGGTCCCCGGTGCCACCAGCCCGTCGCCCGGCCCATGGCGAGCCCCGGCCTGGGGCTGCTTCTGGCGCTCGGCCCGCCGCTGCTGCCGGCCGGCTGGGGCCGGGCCTGGGGGCAAAGTAGGTACCGGCTAGAGGTTGGGGGGGCGCGGGGCGGGGCTTAGAAGCGCGGGTTACCTGGGCCCTGGAGAGGTCAAGAACTGGGGAGCGGTCATGGGAGGAGTCTACAGGGTCGGTCAGGGGTAGGGGCTTCCCTGGACTATTGGAGTTGGTGTAGAATTCCTGAGTTCCTGAGGAAGGCGGAATTGTGGGCTGGGGAGAGGAGCCTGTGTACCTGAGTCTCAGTGTGGTTGAAGTGTTTTGGGCGGACTGGGAGCCAGGAGGAGGGCTGCCTGGGAGGAGGCCTCTGATCCCAGGTTGACCAGGCTGGTCATAGGTGTGGATCCAGCCATTCAGTCCTCCTATTTCAGTTTCTGGAGCCTGGGGGGGAGGTGTGAGTCAGACACTCTAGGGAAACACAGGATCCACCCAGATCCTTACGGGCCGAGGGCAGGCTGGAGAGGTGGTGGGGGGAGGGCAGGGTCCAGCTTCCAGACACCATCCATTATAGCAGACCCCAACTCAGCACAAACTGCAAACTACTGTAGGCTGATTGCTCACTGCTGGGCTTTGCTGGGTTGGGGTGGCTAGAGGAGCAGAAATGACTGGGCCAGCCCCTGCATGCAGGGCACCCACAGTCTAGCAGAATGGAAGACTCAGAAAAGCAGAGTTCTAACTGAGGGATGCCCAAGGAAGGTGCATTTGTGCCAAGATGGGAAGGATAGATAAGGATTAATTTGTCCTCTCTAACCCCCCACCCCACAGCGCAGGACCCCCCTATAAATGAGAACGGCACCATTACACCCTCTGACCCAGGCTCTGGCTCCAATGGGGCCCTGGTGAGTTGGGGTTTTATGCAGGAGGAGGGCAACAGCAATGTTACTCAGGTATCCCACATGAAGCAGGTGAAGGGGCCCGGACTCCCAGAGGTGGCAGGTGCTTGGGAGGGGGATCCCAGGCATGGCATGTGGGAGCCTGGGAGCCCCACATGTGATTGATGGGAATCAGGAATCCTGGGTGGAGGTACCATACCCCCAAAAGTGGCAGGCGTTGTGGGGCGGGAGGTTGTGGAGTGGGGCATTAGGAGCCCTGGATGCTTCTCAGGTGAGGGTGGACAGAATCTCCTGGCTCAGGTGGGCAACCTGTCCCCTCTCCTGCAGTCTCAGGCGGCCATCACTGCCATCATTGTTGTCTTCTCCCTCCTGGCCGCCCTGCTTCTGGCCGTGGGGCTGGTGTTGCTGGTGCGAAAACTGCGTGAGAAGAGGCAGACAGAGGGCACCTACCGGCCCAGCAGTGAGGAGCAGGTGGGTGCCCGTGTGCCGCCACCCCCCAACCTCAAGCTGCCGCCCGAGGAGCGGCTCATCTGAATGCTGGGGCCTGCTGCAGCCGCCACAACTTCCTAGGACCACCCAGTGCTCGCTCACACACAGCAGCTGCCACCAAGACAACAGCCTCTGATGGTCCAGGAGGACTTGGGGGGAGGCCACGGGGCACCTGCCTGGCAGGCTCAGTGAAGCATGCCGCCTCTGCTTGACTCTGCCTGCAATTGGGGATGCCGGGGCTGGGGGCCCGCCTCCACGCTTGCTGCCCCATCTTCGCTCAGCCAACTGTCCTGCTGCCACACAGGCCCGACAGATCCTCTCCTTTCTTTCAGTTCAACCATGCAGCCGAGGCCCCGGCTCCCCAGGACTCCAAGGAGACAGTGCGGGGCTGCCTGCCCATCTAGGTCCCCTTTTCTATCCATCTGCCTTGCTGTGTGACCTTGGGGGAAGGCAGAGCCCTCTCTGGGCAATCAAACCTAGCCAGTGCTTAAGAATAGAAGGGGAGAAGGTGCTTTAAAGGCTGTGTCCCTGAGGGTGAGGGAGAGTGTGCTGTTCACATCTTATATATATACATACAGTCAGTAGTGAGATGTAACAAAACCTTTTTCTTTTTGAACTGATGCGGGCAGGAATTAGTCTAGATGGAGGGAAAAAACTCTGGGCTCATAGGCTGTTGAGAGATGAATTGTAAGGTTGCGAGGATCCTAGGGCTGGGAGGGCTTCCTGGAAGGGAGGGTCTTCCAGCTGCACCTGAGAGCCAGCTGGAGGCTGCCCCAGGAGGAAGGTAGTGGATGGGGTACGTTTCTGAGCAGAGAGAGGGCCCCCAGATAAACTCACCAGGAAAACCAGCTTTGGGTTCTTGTGCTTTATTGAAGGAGTGGGGTCTCCTCCAGAACCCAGATTCTTAACCTTCAAAACACTTTTTAAGCTCAGCGACTCTGGGCCGGCTCCTAGCCTGGGGCTCCAGCCAGTCGTTGGCAGGTGCAGCAGGGGATCTGAAGGCTCCCGGCCCCTCTGGGAGCTGGAAGTGAGCATCCTCTGCCAGCAGGACCTCAGAGATCTGGGATCTGGGGTTGTCTGGGGAACCAGGATCTGAGGAAGAATCAAGGGGTTGGGATGTCCACGTAATATCCAAGTTGGGCTTTGTGGGGACCAGAAGTTGGGGGCTTTCTGGAGGGCTGGAGTGGGTGGGTGCTGTGGAGAGCTGGGCGCAGGGGCTCTCTTGGGCTCTGGGATCTTCAGCTGCCTTGGGGGAAGGGGAGAGATGTAGGATTAGAAGATGGGGCTCGGGGTCCCCTTGGCTGCTTGGGTCCACAGAAGCTGGTGAGGACTGGGGTGGAAGAATGATTTCTTGGCTGGCCTCCAAGGCTGGCTGGGAAGTAGGGTCCTTTGAGGAGGTCATGGCATCCAAAGGCTGGAGGGTTTGCAGAGACGGCAGGTGCCCGGCAGGTAGGGACAGGGGCTGAGGCTCTGGTGGTTTTTCCTCGTCTGGTTGCCATCTTGATCTTCCTGGTACGTCAGGCTGGGTAGGGGAGATGGGCAAGTTGCTGGCCTTCAGATGCTGGAGGGGCTGGGAAGTCAGATGGGCCAGTGGGGGAGGACTAGGGGCTCTCACCAAGCTGAAGCAGCTGTCCGGGTCCCCTCTGTGGCAGCAGTCCAAGCTCTGGCTGGGCCGCAGGCTGCCTGTCCTGCTGGCACCCATGCTCAGACTGTCCAGAATCTCACTCAGCAAATCCAGTTCTTCTCCGGACCCCAGGAAACTGTTGTCCAGAGCTTCCTCTGTGCATGGGTCCTGGGCATCCTCAGGGCTCAGAGCAGGTGCCCTGGGTAAGGATGGGCAGCCTCAGATGTCTGCCCAAGACCCCCAGTCCTGATTGGACTGCTCTGGAGGTTCTTGAGTTTAGGGACCATCCTCCCCATCAGTCCTGGCCTCCCACGTCCAACATTGCCGCCTCCCCAGCCTTTGAGCCTTACCCCTCCTCCAGGGACACAGAAGGTCTCTCCTCCAGTCGCCTTCTCCTGCTGGGGCGAAGGGGCCGGTTCTGCAAAGGACAGATTTGGAGGGCGGGGCTTCAGGAACGACAGAATCGGGTTTCTGGAGGAGGGTGAGTGTTAAGTGGGCACCAGATACTGGGGTAGGTGAACAGGTGAGCGAGATGTCTGGGTGGAGACAGAATGGGAGGAGGACTAGGTGGTAATTCCAGGTTTGAGCACTTGCGGTGGGGCATGTGTGGGGGGGGCGGGGGACACATTTACCTTTCCAAAGTGCTGGGTGATAGGCAGGCGCTGCTGCAGACGATCTGAGCGGCTGGTTAGGGACAGGGCTCTCAGGGAACCCCCCCTTTGCAGGCCAGAGTTCCCATCCTAGGAAGAGGGTGGGTAAGCCAGGAGCCCCTTCTTCATTGCCCCAGCCATTGGCCACTGGTCTTACCTTGTACATCAGAAGGCTCTGCACACCCTTCAAGCCGCTCTTGGCCTATGGAGGAGCCAAAAGAGAATTAGATTCCACGGTGATTTGACCCTGAGCATTTGAGAACTCAGCTCTCCATCCCGTAGGACAACTGTCTTGCCATCTGTTCACATTTGTGCCTCACCGACGGTCACAGTTCTCCATGCACCACGTACGAAGTCAACACTAACTCACCCCTTGCCTAATACAAAAGGAGTATTCCTAGGGGACTATAACCACTGAATGAAATGGGGAGTGGCAAAAACGGAACATTGTAAAAATGTATCAGCATTCAAAAGCCAGGCAACTGAATAAAACCTAAGTTCGGAGCTGCAGAAGTTGGCCACAGGAAACTTCTGGGACTGTAATGTCTGAGGACAAAACATGTTCACCAACGAATCTGGGTTGTCACTTTCAAATAGTGAAGCAGTGATCCTGACAAAAATGAGTAGGTAAATGGAGAATAAAAGCAGGAAGACTTGTTAATGGTTTAATGCTGGTTTGGTTCTGATAAAAATGTTTGCACTTTAAATGGGGGGTTAAAATGTCCTGCTCCCATGAGGGTTTGAAATGTGCCTTGTCCCCTTGTCTTTGTCACTCCAGTAAGTGGCCTATCTCATGTAGCCTCACCGAGCGGTACATGTTTTTGACAGCTGGTTGGGTCTTGGCCTTGACCGAATGCAGGAGGGCACCACCACCTTTCTGGGGAGAGAGAATGGCAAGGGAGAGAGACTTGGTACCCTGGGGTTACCCCAGACTCCACCTCCCCACCGCAGCTGTGTGATGCTGGACAAGCCCCTCTCCCTAGCCAAGTCTCAATTTCTTCACTTCTGTCTATAAATGTGCATAATGATGACCCTGGAGACTGTTACGGAGCTAAGTTAATCCAATAATAAACACTAAACAAGTGTTCGGTGTTACTACCTTTAGGTTGTCTGCCCAGAGCTGGTAGGAGCGAAGAATGCCTGCAATGAGGAGAGCTGGTCATGGCTGGTGGGCTGAGGCTGGGGTACTGGTGGGGCAGGGGCTTCGGCCTAGGCACAGGGCTCACCTGAGGAGGCGTCGCTGCAGGTGATCTCCTGCTCAAAGAGATCTGAGAAGCCCTCTCCTGTGTTCAGCTTCTCTAGTCGGCCTTCGATGAACTGGGGGTGGGGGAAGGGTCAGAAAGGGCTGCCACCAACACATCTGAATTCGAGGACTCAGGACACAGGCAGAAGCCATCCCTGGCCCCTCCAGGGACTCACCCCTAGGACTCTGGAGTCTGGAGCCACCTCAGGAAGCCAGAAGCCCAACCCTCTCCCTGCCACCCCAGTCAGGACCTGTCAGGGACCAGACCCCGCCCCTCATAGGGACCCGGAAGTCGGACTCTGACACTCCTGACCGGCTCGCCACTCCTTTCAGTGATCCTGGAAGAAGTCGACCTCATCTTCAGGGACCCGAGGACCCATCCCCGCACAGATGGACCCTAGAGTTCTACCCACCTCCCAAGAACCCAGGAATCCGGCTCCACTTCTCCCCCATGTCCCTGTAACCCCGGAGTCCCCGGCCCCCGCCTCCCCAGCAAGGGGAGTGCACACTCGGGACACACCCCTTTCAGAGTCCCGCACGTACACCCACTCCCGCCCCGGATGCTCCATCCTTGGGGACCCAGGGATTTAGTCCCACCTCAATCTCCCCAGGAACCTGGGAGTAGATCTTATCCCCCAGGCGTCAGGGGCTCCCATCTTTAGGGAAACGGTATTGCAGTCATGCCTCCCCCACCCGGGGACCTTGAAGGGTGGGACCCCGCCGGACCGACTCTAGTCTCCCCTATAGGACTCACGCTTCCGTCCCTCTAGCTCCGGCTCGCCCCCCAGGGACCCAGGATTTTCCGCTCCAGCCCCGCCCTAGCCCCGCCCCCGGCCTCGGCCCCGCCCTCAGGGTTCTGGCGCACCTGTTTGAACAGCTGCAGGTGCACAGCCCGCTGATGGAAGGCCTGCAGGGGCGCCCCAGGCTTCTGGGCCAAGAAGGCTTCTTCGCTGAAGGTCACAGGCTGGCCCTAGAAGAAAGACCCTGAACTTCCGATCTGAACTTCCGTGGCTCTCCTGGACCCCAGCTGTCTCCCTTATTCTATCCTATGTCTATGTAGCAAATGTAAAATGGGACCATAATGGTATCTATCTCATCATCCAGTTGTGAGCATTAAACGAGATACAGTGACAGTAAAACCTAGCATTTAGCGAGTGCTCACGATGTGCTAGCCACTATCCAAACATTTTGCATATGCCCATTCACTGACTCACATGACCCTTTTGTGTGGGTACTAGTGGGATCCCATTTTGCAGATGAGCAAACAGAGGCACAGAGTAAGCACTCCATAAAGCCTAGGTATTACTATCATTAATTATTATTATTATTATTATTATTATTAATCCTTCAGGGACCCACGAGGCCTCTCCCTTGGCCTCCCCGCTGCTCACCGGGCTGCAGATGAGCGCATCGCGGTAACCCCCGAAGAGCAGGGCCTGGGCTTTGAGGAAGAGACGGGACACCCCTTCCCCCGGCGCCAGCGCAACCTTCCTTAGCCGAAGCCTCAGCAGGGACACCTGGGGGACAAGGGGAGGCTGTGAGCCGGCAGATGTGGGGCCTTGGCCTCCGCGACGCGGCAGGAGCACAGAAGGGGGTGACACTGACCACGTCTGGGGGCAACGCTTGCACGTCGTCGAAGGGCGTCTCCAAGGTATTGGAGTCCACGTTCATCACCACGACCTCCTCCAGGGCTTTCTCCCGCACTCTCTGCGTCGGGGAGTGGGGGTGGGGACGGCCGCTCAGAGCCCGAGGATCTCTGGCGGGGGCGGTTATTTGGGGATGCAGGAGGAGGGGAATCCCGTCCGCCGCTGTGATCGCGGTCTGCTCCCCCTCACCTCGGCGAGACTGGAGTGCACTCCGATGAGGTAGGGCATGGGCGCACTGCAGACGACCGAGGGGACAGAGTCAGGCAGGCGCCGTCCCACAGTCTCCAGGACCCCAGGCCCTGCTGCTCCCCGGTCCCCGCC